CAAAAATCAATACGGTTTTCGAAGATGCCGATCCCCTCTTGATGCAATCAACCTCGTCGTCGATTCCGCCAAAGAAGCAATTTTAGGAGCGAGAGGACTCAGAGGCACCAAGAAGTACTGCCTAGTGGCGACATTGGATATCAAGAACGCCTTCAACTCGGCTAGGTGGGTCTGTATTATGAAGGCTCTGGCGGAGTTCAACATACCTGAATACCTGCGGAAGATGGTGGACANAATCCACCCCAACACCACTTCTTTCGCCTCAAGACATGAATCCCTGGAAACGTGAATAAAACACACCTCACGAATCCAACGTGATGCAATCATTTCTTGTGTGTGGAATTCCGAAGCGTCCCGCACAATCGGAGCAACGCCCAGGAAGACCACCGCAACAGGCTGGAAAGTGAGCACATTTGATCCGGGCCCATTGCTGGTTGCTTTTGACGACCGTCCAATCAGGGGCAGAAATGCAAAGGAAAAGATGGACGACATTATGAGTAGAGTCACCAAAGCTTGCAACGCTACCATGCCCAGAAAACGGGTCAATAATCAGCATCCACCAGTTTACTGGTGGAATAATACCATCGCCGTCTTGCGAAAGGAGTGCAGCGCAGCGAGGAGATTGTCCCAACGTGGCCGTAACAAGCCAAACTCCGAAGAGTTGGACTTGCGATACAAGAATCATGGAATGAACTCCTCACAGAGGTGGAAGGTGACCCGTGGGACCGGCCATACAAGGTCGTGATGACACGACTCAAAAGTCAGCCGATGCCACCACCGACGTGTCCGGAACTAATGAAAAAAATCGTCATGGTGCTGTTCCCGCAACAGCCAGATTTTCATCGTATGAGCGAGCGGAAGGAGAATGTGATGGTTTCACCAATCACCGAGAAAGAGGTGATGGAAGTGTGCAATAGAGTGGGTAGCTCTAAGGCTCCTGGACTGGATGGAGTTCCCAATGTTGCTCTGAAATCGGCCATCCACGTGAAACCAGGACTGTTCTTGGACGTATACAATGAGTGTCTTAGGGAGGGCGCCTTCCATGCCAAGTGGAAGCAGCAGAGTCTTGTGTTACTCCCGAAGGGGAAAAAGCCGCCAGACGAACCGTCATCATAACGTCCTCTCTGTATGCTTGATACAGCTGGCAAGATTCTTGAACGTATCATCCTCAGAAGAGTAGAAGCAGCTGTGGAACCGGTGTTGACCAAAAATCAATACGGTTTTCGAAGATGCCGATCCCCTCTTGATGCAATCAACCTCGTCGTCGATTCCGCCAAAGAAGCAATTTTAGGAGCGAGAGGACTCAGAGGCACCAAGAAGTACTGCCTAGTGGCGACATTGGATATCAAGAACGCCTTCAACTCGGCTAGGTGGGTCTGTATTATGAAGGCTCTGGCGGAGTTCAACATACCTGAATACCTGCGGAAGATGGTGGACAACTACTTCACTGGGAGAGTTCTAAAGTACGACACGGAGTGTGGCCCCGAGAAGTACAGAGTTACTGGAGGTGTGCCGCAGGGCTCAGTATTAGGTCCTCTCTTGTGGAACGTCATGTACGATGGGCTACTGAAACTGATACTGCCACGTGGTGTGAATCTCGTGGCGTTTGCAGATGATGTAGCTGTAGTCATCGTGGGGAAGCATCTAGAGGAGATCGAACTTGTTTTCGACATGACCTTCGGGGCAATCCGTTGCTGGATGGACACCGTAGGCCTGCAGCTAGTAGAGCACAAAATGGAGGCTGTGTTGATCACGAGTAGGAAGCAGGTCAAGTCTATAACACTAAGAGTCGGAGACTGCGAAATCACTTCTCAGCCTTTCATTCGGTATTTGGGGGTAATGATTGACGCCCGACTTAGCTGCAAACAGCAAGCCGAGCACGTGGGTAATAAGGCTTCCGGTGTCAGAGCTAACCTACCATGCCCCATGCCCAACATAGGAGGCCCAAAGCAGAGAAGACGAACATTACTATCGTGGGTGGTTACATCTGTGAAGGTTGCACAAGTCTATCGACTGAGTGTGCTGCAAGTTGCGAGCGCATACCATACGGTGTCCGAGGAAGCAGTTTGCGTCATCGCCGGCATGTTTCCCATAGAAGAAATGGCCGAGGAACGAAGGTTTGACGGGAGGTCACGGTAATGCCTATTGACTGGATAGAGAGACTCTTCTTCGTTGATAAATATGAAATTATTGACGAGGAAGGTAACAATTGGTTGAAAGGTAACCTTGGGTGAGCCTTTCCGTATTCAGCCTCAATGCTCCAAGCTTGAACTAAGCCTGAATTAAGGCTCTGTAAAAGCCCCATCTATTACACTCATTTCAGGGTGAAGTGAACGCTAAGATCAAGCCTGCTCCAGGCCTGTATCACTGAGCCATAATACCATAATGAATTCACAAAACTGATACTTCTCTCCAGGCAAAATTATTCTGAACAATAACTAGAGATTTTTTAAAAACAGGTCCTCCCAAGGGTATTCGAAAGTCCATTTGGTCTCAGTCAAGACGCTTACGCAAGCTTGAGGTTAGCCTGGTAGGAACGATCCTTATCTTCGGGTCACTGGATTCAGCCTCTACTGAACCTAATAAAGATAAGCTAAGCTTAAACCTAAGTATAAGCTTAGTCTGTGTAGGCTCAGTGCGCTGAGGCTTATCCAAGCCAATACTGATTCAAGCCTTGGGCTAAGTAGCCTGAACAAAGCCAACGTCTTCCGAGGGTATTCCACGGGGTCTTAACTTGACCTATATGGATCAAGCCTCGATCAAGCCTGAGTATAAACTTAGTTTGTTGAGGCTCAATGGGCTTGGGCTCACCTGAACCTGCACTGAGTATAATATGTCTCAGCCTTAACAAGCAAAGGCTGGTTCAGGCCTGTATCGATACTCATATTGCCGAGCCCCAGGGAAACAAGGTTCCCCCAAGCTTGGCCCCATCGTCGAGCCTTTGAATTCTTACCTGGGAAGCGAGAAAAACGCAATGCAACGCAGTTATCGAAGGAGACAGGAATGTTTTTTTTACAAGCGAAAAAAACGCAAAATTTTCAAAAAATCATAACTCGTTTAAAATTTTTCTATCTTGGACTAAAATTTCAACTGAAGCCTTATCTCATGATATAAAATTGAGACCAAAATCATAAACAAAATCTTTTTTTTTTATTGTCATTTTACATCGCTTTGACTCGGTTAGGGTATACTGCGATGATGATCAAGACTTTAAATGGTTAGATCGCACCATTCTACCCGGCCGGGATTTGAACTCGGATGTGAGGCAACTTTCGCATGTGAGGCAACGAACTTACCCACTGCGCCAAGCCACCAGGCTGATGAACAAAATCGGTGTCATCAATTTTTTCGACTGCTGCTTTCACGTGCAATTGCCCAGAGAAGAATTGAATAGTTGATGAATATCAAGACAAGTCAATAATCAGGTCGAAGTAAGCCCTAAAATGTAGATTTCGGCGAATCTCCACGGAATTTTTTTTGCATCTTCTGCGATTTTAATGATTAAGAGCTGAAGTTCAAATCTGTCCATCAAAAAACTAATATTGATAAGTCTATGGAAACAGATTTGTGGTATTCACTGTGCTCAATGACAAAAAATTTGTCTATATGGAAAAATATATGAGGTTTATCCTGCAGAATTCAATTTATATAAATAACTAGTATTTGCAAGAAAAAGTATAATCTGGCAATAATGAGTACTTTTTTGAATCAATGCAGCTATTACACGATTAATTTTTATGTTCACTCTAAAATATGCCGTAAAATACTTGGTTGGTAATATCAAATTTTTGTAATTTTTTTCAAATTTCTCAGTAGGGGCCTTCGTCAATCAACATAGAAAATTCATAAAAAATTGACGGATCACATGGCGAATCATCAATTATATGTAAAATTCAATGGTCAACATTTTTCGTTTGAATCATTCTCCTCTATCTCGATCGAGTTTGCCAATAAACGCCTCGGAACGCCCCAACATTCGCGCAAGTGTTAACGTGCTGCCCACTTCCCTCCCATCCATGATAACTGTTTATCTATCACAGTTAGGAGAAAAAGTTATAAAATAAAAAATGTGTATTTTTACATAACAAGCATCTTTTATTTCAAATTTTTTTCTCTATCTGCAACCATTTCCATGATATGATTGATTAAACAATTAAAATGTTATAAATAAATAGACCTGACGACAACTTGTAGAAAATCGACGTCGGATTTGGATTCAGCACTTCCGTTAACGTAAATCCCATAGATAAAATTTAATTTTTTTCCTAGCGCACAGAAATAGGGTTAGCATATGGCCTACTATTTCTATTTCCACTCTAAAAAATAGCTAGAATCAACTTTTTGGTAGCATAAAATTTTTGTGAATTTTTTCAGCTTTTTAAGATGGGGCTTTCGTTAATCCACCTCCAAAAATTATAACAAATTAAGGAATTGATAACAAAAAATCTGAAAAAAAATCAGGGTGGATTTTTCATCGAGCAGATTTTATTGAGTGAAAAGATTGTAGTTATAATGATGGTTAAAAGCTTATTCAATTAGAACATCTATTTTAACATTGCTTGGGCAGAATGTGAAACAAAAATCATGAAATTTCTTCATGGTTAGAATTTTCCAGTCTTTGTTTCCCTCCTCCCCTCCACTTTGATCCTCTACAAACACATTGAATCATTCTTCTGTTGACATTATCTAACCAATTCTAATGTCTTTACACTGCCTTGGAGTATTCTCTCCCCATGCATAATTTTTCTACAATTCCATTCGATGATTCCGTGAACTGAAAATGTCCTCGAATTGTTCATAAAATCTGGAAATTTTTTCTATTGTTTTTAGAGAGTTCGAGAGTTTTGTGGAATTGGTGCGAAAACTCAACAAATTTCTCAATTTTTTAAAATTAACTGATGTTTGGATTTCGGCCAATCAGAGTGCAGTATTCAAAGTCACATGGCACTTCCACATCATTTTTATTCATCAATGGAATTGAATCAATTTTAATAACTTACCACTCCATCGCTTGACGATTCCTCGAATCCCCTGAATGCCGGCAATGCAGGTGGTGTCGTACTCATATCAAGAGGACCAGGCGGTAACCACTCATTTCTGGATGGTGATGACCTACCTCGTGACGTGCCAAGCCGTGGCCTGCCACGACGAACTCTTCTACCTGATAACAGAAAATATAAAATCAGAAGCCGATCGCTTGCTTCACTGGCTCTCGTTTTGGGGTAAGACCGCTAGGGCTGGGTTGTAGCGGGTGTGACCCATTACTGTCCGGCCCAATAACCTCCCTATCAATTCCGTTTTTTCTGTTCATTACGAAAAACAGGAGTATACTTTCTCATTACAGAATTCTTGATTTCTCGCTTGATATCCTTGTTCATAACCAAAGATGTTGGAATTTCGACTCGATGACAAACGTTCCGTTTTACTTCCGGTGCTCCCATTATTTAGGAAAAATATGTGTTGACAAAAGCGGGTGACCCACCCCAAAATATAAATTAGCCGATGAACACTCACTCAGAACGAGCATAGCTCTCTATATAATGAATTGCAGGACTAAAGATATTTCATTGCAAAAATATCTGAAATCTTCCCGAAAACAATAATAAATTTTTGTAAAAAAAATCACTAAGAACGGGTCCGAGCGTTCTATTTCTATTTCTATTTACAAAAAGTGGTGAAATCATAAAAAGTAAATGCCAAGCAATACATAGAGGTTTTGAATACAACTAAAAAAACCGATGAAAAATTGAAAATTATGAAAATAAAATTATCAAAACGAGTTGATGAAAATTTGAAGTCAACCAACTTGGCGTACGATTCAAGCTCCTAGAAAATGCACCAAGTGAGTTGGCTTGAAATTTTTATAAAATCGTTTCGTTAGAGAGACAATCTATCTCTTGACCAAATAGAAGCATTGGAAACTGCTTCACTTGAAGAATCGCGCCTATGAATACATCTCAACTATTGAAAATATTGCCATACACCGATGTCTCGACTGGCGGGGTTTATGCGGCAGATCAATTCCCTAGGAATTGGCCGAGACCGGGTGCAATCATGGCCAACACCGATAACCATACGCAACCAGTACAATTGACTATTTCAACAGCTTCGGACTACTGCCTTGCGACCACCGATCAAAACATTTATTGCGACGAAATTGCCGATTATATATTGTCGATTATTTTCATAAATTTATCCAATCATTTCAATCGCCCAGCCCACTTTCCACCCACCACCCTTCATCAACAGACCCACCACCCATATGTCACCCCATCCATCCGCTCAGCACCTTCCACCCACCACCCACCTTACCCCCACCGTCGCTACATCCACCGCCGGTACACGTGGGACCTTCCCCCTCCACTGCTTACCGACAACCGGTCCTGCCAGACACCCTCTCTCTCGCACTGGCGCCAGACAGGGTGAAACTCTACTGCTCCCTCTGGAAAGACGTCATACATCACCTGACATTAACGTTATACACCTGAAATGAATAGATGGCGCCACCGCACAGCACGTGGCCGGCGACATATGAGACATTTCATGTCAACTCAGCAACCCTGAATTTTTCTGGTTCTCAGAATCCTGAATTGACATGCTCGCAGTGAACTACTAGATAAGTATATGCTTTCCCTAAATTTTCATTTCTTTAACATAAATTGTTTGTCTACAACATGTGTTAAAAGCTTAAATTTTTGAAAAATCATTTCCCGCGAATAAATTAACGGATTTTAATGAATGAAAAAACGATTTTTTTCGTTTCTTCATGTGCTATATGAAAAAAGATATACCAGCACTGCGAGGGCGAATAATAACGCATTTTCAGAGGTTTTAATTTTTCAAATTCCACTGTTACGCAGGGGCCAGTCGAAAATCAATTAATTCTTTTTTTCTCGATAGATAATAATAATTCCCAATTTTTTCGGGATATTTTGAAATGTGATATCGATATAGAGATGAGAAAAAAAAATTTTTCCATAAAAAAATCTTTTTTTTCGACATTAACGGCTGTAATTATGCAAACCACATATGAAACTCACCACTTACTCCTGTACCATACATTTTTACTCAATGGATAACGTAACTCCATTGTCGAATTGAAATAAGTAGAATATAATAGTTTTAATACCACTTAAATTGATGAACATCGATTTCCAGAAAGAAAAAACGACTTAAAAATCTTCGATTTTCATTTCAGATTGCTAGGTATATAGAAGTCAATGCTTTCGTCGACTCTTCTTCGGAAAAACTTCTCCACTAGCCGCTGCTGAATATCTTTTAATTAATAATTGTCCACCTTCTCCAGGGATGAAGCAATGATTTTTTTAGATGGCTGGAATGGCCTTCGCACTGTTGAATCTTTTTTTTATGCTTTCCTGGATAACTTTGTGTTCTTCCTTACTATAAAAAAATACATCAAGATCTTTGAAGTAATCTTTCGCCCAGCGAAACAGACTACTAGGTGTGAGGATAGGTTCCCCTTGAGTTATCTGCAGACTCCTTCGCCTCGCTCCCGTTTTGGTACCGATTCCTATAATGTTGTGCGGCTCCATCGGTAACATAAATCAATTTTGTCACCACCTCACAGACTTTTCTTATGTGCTCTATCAACATCTTTTGCATCACGTAAACCGCAGCAGTATCGTGGACAAGACTATCAGATAGAAGGATTAGACTTCGATGGCGAATATCACTCCCCTGACGATAATAATAGACCACAGGATGTACAGTGCAATGGTTATTCTTATAATGAAATGATTGAGCTGCGTCCTGAGAAACGAAGGAATAATTCTCGGAGAAATCACACTGAACTAGAATCTCTCCTTCAACTAAATTCTCCATTCGCTCTTTCACATAGGCTGTTTGTTCAGTGGCAATGAAATGATGAGATTTCACTTGCTGGGAGGTTCTGAGTCTGCAATGTTGCTTTATCCACAGTTTGCCACGTTTTGAATTCCACTTTTTCAATCATAGCGTAGTTACAAAGTAATTTTTTCAATTCAAGTGATAGCACATCAACTCCCGGACAGTTTTGGCATTCATCTAAATGGCACGCAGGCATTGGATTGGAACACATGAACTTCGCAAGACAATCTTTGGTAATATGTTACAATGACCACCTACGTGACAGTTGTTATTTACGTAACTCAAGCGTGTCTGAGCCTACTGGGTGTCGGGAGGTCCTCCATAACCTCAATCTAACACTTTTTGAAAACTCAAATTGAATTTCGAGAATCGATATAATTATTTGACCCTAAATTTCAATCAAAATTGGAACGATTATGCGATGTTATAAATTAGAAATTTGGGGGTCACCACATTTAGCTAAAACCCGAGGCCAGGACGAGGACGTAGTGGTGCGCAGGCCTCAAGAAGAACCTACTCACCACCTCTATTACCTATTACATCATGAGGTTGTTTCTAATTTATTCGAAGAACATTTTTTTAAGGTCGAAAACCAAGCCTCCGTCTAACCTTCTTTAGACACTCTATAAATAATTAAATAAATAAGTAAAAGAATTAAGAGTGATAGTAGTCCTGGACATTGATCAACGTACCTATTATGGTTTATAATCGTTGTCAATGTTTATTTTCCACAATGGAAATTAAATCACTCTCACAAAGAACACTAGGGAGGTGTTTCCCTCCGATTTCGATGAAACTCATATATGTTGTAGAGGACTCGAAACTAAGCGACAGGTTATATGTGAACGAAAAGCAGTGACGAGTACGAAAAAAAATTTGCCAAATGGTTATATGTGAACGAAAAGCAGTGACGAGTACGAAAAAAAATTTGCCAAATGGTTATATGTGAACGAAAAGCAGTGACGAGTACGAAAAAAAATTTGCCAAATAATCGGAATTTTTCCATATCGTTCAACGAATGATTGAACTTGTTTTTTTCATATGTCGGAGGAACCGGGGTAATGGTTCTAAGAGACTTCATTATTATAGTATATATGTGATGGCAGCACACTGCTGAAAGCGATCATAAATCCAAACAAAGTGCAAATAGCCGTGCACGCGTCACCTATATCCAAAAATAGGTAATCCATCATGCAGTAATCATGTATTATTGATAACCCTGAACATTATTCACTTCCATTTTGCGCAGCGTTCAGTTTACGTAAACACATTACGGCAAAACTGTCTCTTGTTAATCGTATATTCCGAATTCTTTCCATCATGAGATTCAATCCTATAAACGTTATTAAGATCCTCATGGCAACATTTGAAGTGCTGAATCTTGGCGAAACCCCTGTGACTAATGAAGAACGAGAATTGGCAACTCATTTCGAGAATATATTGCAACGAACTATGGAGGAATATAATGNATTCAATCCTATAAACGTTATTAAGATCCTCATGGCAACATTTGAAGTGCTGAATCTTGGCGAAACCCCCGTGACTAATGAAGAACGAGAATTGCCAACTCATTTTGAGAATATATTGCAACGAACTATGGATGAATATAATGGGGTGGAAATTATTGAAGAATCAACTCTTGATTTCCAAGAGCCATACAAAGACATCGAAATGATACCAATTGAGGATACAGAATTCCAACCACATCATAAAGAATCATCTGATAGTTATTCAGAGGATGACGAACTTGTAGATTATGACTATAAAAAAAGAGCAGTCGAATACTGAAGGAGTGCAAAAACAAAGAAAAATCTGTCTATAAAAACTCTTTCCAATATATTCAAAAGCGTGAAATCGGTCCAGCAATTACGTCTTTGGGCACATCAAGTCAATAAAGGAGGAACTTATATGGAAAAGTTGAAACGAATATCAGAGTACACGTTGAAAAATATGAAAAATACTATCGATGCGGGGCTAATTGTTCATGATGGCGACCTATGAAGATGGACTTTGCAAGCTCAACGAGATATTGGATATCAAGATATTCGTTTCAAGGCCGCATCACATCTCGCAAGATTACTAAATTCGTCACACGTAAAACAATGGAAAATCAAAAAGATTTACAAAAAACAGCGGACGAATTCCTGCAACAGATCAAACCATATTTTGAGATTTATGGCTTGCAAAACATCTGTAATTCTGATCAGAGTGGTTTCCAATTGGAAACGCATTCGGGGCGAACTTTGACAGAAGACGGGTCTAAAGAAGTCTCATGCATTGTACAATCTGAACATC